CGAAGCGCCATTTGGTTCAATAAGGAGCTGCACGCCATCAGCAGGGATGATCACAATCACATACTGGAAGTCAACATTCATGTGACGGGCATACAGAAGCCTACGGATGTGAGGAGCAAATTGCTGCAAGTGGGTATTTAAAAAAGTATCTTAGTTCAAAAATTATCTTAATCATCCTATTTAATTTAAATTTAAATTTATAATAATAAACTTTCAAAAGCTCTATGCGCGCCAGCGTACGGCACATCAGTGGAAGCGGCACAAAATGCGGTCAAGAGTGCGCAATTTGGTCTCGGTTGAACACAGCTAGTCTAATTGCTGCAGACATTTCAGCCATTTGTTACGTACAGAACTGCGTGAATGCACATTGTTTGTGTCCAGGGGTGCATTAGCCTCACTGAGCTCGCGCACATGACCTTTCACACATTTCATGCACACAATAGTCGTGGTCCTAAAGTCCACGCATTCACTGTGGTTGGAAATTTACGTGACGAAATTCAGGCCAACGAAACTTGGCGCTCCACCAAATTCAAGAACTGCCTCACAATACAGTTTTTCGCCTTCAAAGAAAGTGCTTCTCTGAGCGGCTTGCTCCTGGACACTTCCGTGAAAAGAGATGGCCACGAAAGCACAGCCACTCCAAAATGTGTCGATCAGAGAGCTTGCTAGTGGTCATTCCTTCGCGGCTTGGTCAACCCTCTGCTGGAATCGGCATTGCTCAGCCCATCTCCCGCGAAGGGGCGACCAAGTGTTCTTCTGAAAACCAAGGATTCTACCGATTCCGTCGGCATAAAACTGATAATTGATCCATCGCACAATCAGGGCGCATTCTTCCTTAAGAAGAATTTGACAAATTAAAGTAAACATTAAAGAATGTGTAAAAGTTTACTTGGGGGAGATACATCAGGACATGTCCTTGTGATTCGCTGCCGCGGCAGCCCATAGGTGGGGTGTGCAACCAGCTCAGGTTGGCCGCTGTCAACGATATGTTGGGCCTTCTTACGGAGCTCGGTGCCAAGCACTGGGCTCTGAACTCTGCAGTCACATTTGTGCACATAGTTCCAGATCCCTCTTGCGGGAAAATTAGACCGGTATGAAAATTTTTTGATCCTGGAAATCTCACACGAACGAAATGGTACCGTAACAGACGTTTTCGGAAGTTACCTATGCCCTGTTCTCGAGCGCAAAATGGAAACTTCAATGCACGGCGAGCTCTGTGAGCCCAAAGTCAGGCTCTAATTTACCTTTTAAACCAAATATTTTGCGAGAGTTTTTTTGAGGTTATCTATTAACTACTTCGAAGCATAAATTAGAGGAGACATCCCGAAAAGTAACAAAAACTTGGATAATGCAAAGCGCCGGGTGTCACACCGGAATCTGCACTGTGGGAATCTGGTGTGTTCAGAGCTGTGAGATATTCTTCTTGGTGCGCTGATACCATTTCGCAGATGTATGAACGTTGGGTTCCATGGAAGGTGCCATAGACTTAAGACAATGGTTGAATGTCCTATCGATTGCAGCCGGAGCGAAAACTGTAGCTTGCCGTCTCTTCTCTTGCGCAACCCACGTGTCGCAAAATCCCGTGTATGCTTGTGTGTCTATAATTCACCCCAGCAGGCATTATTAATTAACGGCGATAAATGCTGGAAATTATCTAAAGAAACACCAATTTCGCTAACGGATGGCGGAAGAAAATGCGAGCTGTGCCGGCCATTTGCCTGGTCCATGTGTCTTCCATATCCCTTTACCATTCAAAGGAAGCCCCTCAGAGATGCATATCCTTGAGATGCTGAAAAACTGGAACCGACTGCATCAATGTTATTCTCATTAATTTAGCGAGCGATTTGTCGCCGAGGGATTGATTTCTCTGGACCATGCAGTTGACTCAAATCCTGTATCACAAACATTCGGGCATCGACATCATCACTGGGGTGGCTGCCACGTCACTGACGAAGTTTGGAAGGCCCAACTGGCAGAGCGTGTTCAAGATGATGAAAGCCAGGCACCCTAAGACTACCGTCGGAGTGCTCTTCTGCGGATCACCCCTGCTGGGCAAGACCCTAAGGAAGTTGTGCATCCAGTCCAGCCAAGACTCGATAACTAAGTTTGACTTCATTTCAGAGAAGTTCTAGTGCATAGCATTTGGGGTTAGGGGGAGTTTTCTGGATGTAAATTGAAGGGGGAAAGAGGGTCGTGTCATTCAGCCTTTGCAGGATCTTCAAATAGGCCGTGAAATACAATGGAATTTCGTGTCTGAAACTTTTGGACTTGGAAAAGATGAAGTGTGATATGCCATGGGTCGGATCAACATGACGTAAGACTGTTACCGCATCTCAAGGCGGCGAAAGGCTTCTGGCGTCGTCGTCAACGATGTGGTTTCCAATCATTATTGCGTTGGCATAATGGAGTGCCATAATTGTTTTCCCTGGACTTCCCAATCACATGTGATCCATTTTTAGTACGTAATGTCTTCTCTGGATCAGCAACCACCAAAGAATACGTGTGGTTGGGTGATGGGGTCCCGTTCACAGAGCACGCACATTATCTATAGATATCATATCCTGCACTCCTGCACATCGGTATTTGTCTTTGGGCATTTTCCAGGAGATGATCATTAAAAGTAGATAAAGAGAAGAGCCAAAGTTGTGCCGTCTGTGCAAATCATATATTTCCAGTTTGGAAGGAAAAAAGGCCTCCCAGAAATGCGGGCGTTCTTCACAGGATTAATCCAAACAATTGCACACACCATCATTAACTCATTGCTACTGCCGCTGCGGCAAGGAATGAACTGAAATCAACACATTGGATTCACTTCCCCCGGGTCCCAAGCAAACAGATATCCTCATTTTCTGCATGTTCAGCGGAAGCTGAAAGGTAAATTTATAATGTGTTCAGACACAGTTTGCAGTTGGTATGGGCTCGGGGGTAACAAATCGGACATCCATACTATTGACAACATATTATGTGGTCTGATTTCCACAACAGCGGTAAAAACACTCATAAGATGCAGAATCACCTACTTTCATCGCGTGCTACTTGATCGGTTTCGACTAAACTTGGAACAGTTCATGGTATTCTGTGTATCAAATTTACTTGATTTCAATGCTTCTCAACCCAGATACACCACAATAGACGTATGTACTACAGGTACACGAAGGCAAGGAAGCGCGCCTTGCCATAACCGAACTTAGTCTCCGATGTATCCAGATGCAGCACATTGCTGATTGAGCTGGCACAATTTACGCCTGATCGCGCATCAACTTGGTGCAACAGCGCCAGTTCATTACTGCATCTGGCCAATTTCGAGGCTGGTTGGTTCATTTTGGCGGTGTGCTCCATGGCAATGAGGGTGGGATGGATTCAATTTATACAGAGGCTGGTTACTGTTAATGGCAAACACGTGGAATATCAGCATATAGTAGTATTTGAAATAGCGTCGCACGTTGCGCTTGACGTTGCTGTTTCAGCACAGCAATGTGTTATGACACATCCTGTAAATTCAACTGCATGCATATGGGAGCACCTTTTTGCCTAATATGTGATGGCAGCAACCTCGCTGAGGACAATTTGCGTCTATGTACATAGACCAATTCAACATAGAAAACTTGAAAACTGGTCTACAGTCTTCGCGCGCGAATTCTGGATAATGCTGATGCGATGCAGCACTGCAAAAGTGCATTGAGGATGATGTGATTGGAGAACGTGAGGTGAAGGGGACATGTTTGGGTGTGAAATACCTGATTGTTTGGAATGGATATACTAGAAATATCTCATTGAAATAGCATGGGGAATACAGCAGACTTGAGGCAGAGGGGCCAAAAAGGGAACTAGGTTAACGCCCAGATATTTATCAAACACCGGCACATGAAAGAGGAGGGGGGGGGATTATAGTATATTTATGGAATATAGACTGGCGGAGTACCACAGGAATTGCTGCAGAGATTGGCTTATGTTTCCCACTTATTATTAATTATATATATACATATATATTAACTAATTAATTTTTGCAATAAAAACTTTACTCTATTTTTGCACTTTAGCATTGTGAATGTATGAAATTGAGTGAATTTTTGGCATTTAAGCAAATTGAATCACCTCGATGTAGTCTTCATTGATGATTTGCATAGCAGACCCAACGAACTAACTAAATTTGGCACTCGAATTACCTAAGCTCATACACCACCTGATCGCCCCGACGTTCTCGGCATGTACTAATGTAATACAGTAAGGGTCTCTATATAGCGGACCCCGTGGCATGGCCAAAAGGGGGGCGCTACAGGGGTCCGGGGCCGCTATTGTGTTAAGGGGGGTACCACGGCCGACTGTATAGTTTGTACCATGGCCGCCAGTTTAGGAGGTACGCTAGCCACCTGTGTATGGGGTACCCCAGCCGCGGGTGCAAGGGGTACCCTAGCCACCTGTGTAGGGGGTACCCGGGCTGCTGCTATAGGGGGTACCGGTGGGGTGGGGTTGGTGGGGGTGGGGGGCGGCGCGCTATATAGGGGCTTCTGCTGTACAGTATCAATGTGAATAGACACATCCAAAGCAATGAAATATGTGCCCTTTTAGTTGCCGATAAGCATCTCCAAATGATGAGAATTGTGTTGTTGTTTCAATTTAAGTTTGAAGAGAGGACAAATTACAAACACATGTCAAACCCCCTTGAACAATCATCTAACGCATCTTTTGCGCATTTTTGCGGTGTCACCACATCATATAATGTGTAATTGCGGGCTGGCGCACTAAATAAGGCTACCTCTACACAGCACTAATTCCTCCAAACACGGTACCAAAGAAACCACGTCAGCGGGACAGAGAGGCCAAAACATGAGTCAATTCATTCCGAGAACAAGCTCACGGAGCTCGAATGTCCTGGGTGGGCTCCATCATGAGACATGCGTCGGAAAACCTTGTCACATTCTGCACCGTTTCTAACTGCATGGACACGCAAATGCTAAAAGGTAGGTGCGCCTCGAAGCGCCACGCTTTCCCCTTGCACACTAGCTGTAGTTATCCAAACCATTCTCTCCCTTTGAATTGATCAGGAACAGCATCAGGGTCGAGACGGTGGCACCCAACTGGATGTCGCACAGATTCTTTGAGAACTGTATGACGGCGTCGTTGAACGCGTCTTTGGAGCAGCGCAATTTCATCAACCTGTACATGAAGATGACCCAAAAGGCGCTGATGAGCGCATCCGCCAGGGTGCACGCCCACAAGTCTCCGAGCTTCGTGTTGTCGTCCACATGGGCGGCGGCGTTCATTACGTCACCGTTCCCTGAGCTCTTGACGATGGACAGAACCACAGAAAACACCAGCGCGGCCAAGAATCTGGTGTAGTACTTAACCAGCACAGGTCTCGGCTTTATCGGGTTCTGCGCCCATCCAAAGATCGTCTGCATGTACTTGGACGTCCGCAGGTACCCCGCGGTGCTCCACAGCGACCAGATGGGCCCCACGGCAAACATGCACGCCGTGTCGGCCGCGAGGATGACGAGGTAGAACTTCCAAAGACGAATTTGGAGGGAGAAGAACACGAGGATGTTGTAGGTGGAAATGGAGAAGGCATAGGTCAAAAGCCCCTGCGATACAATTGAGAATTCCAGCGAGACGTTTGGAAGGGCCTCTTGAATGTCGGTCGTGAGGCGGGTGAAGATTGGCGGCAGGATGAGCATCAGCATGTAGCCCATCTGCGGCCCCCGGGCGTTTGCCGTGTTGAGCATCTTGAGGAGGTTGAGTGACAGGGTGAACGCCAGGAGCAATGAGACGGATATCACCAGCTGCCCCTTCACCCCCAGACCGTCCTTTTTGGGAAGCATGAAGTAGACGCCCACCGATACGGCGATGTCCACGAAGGCGCCCGAAAGGCTGATTCCAAAGTACAACAGACTCCCACTGGCCGCGGACAGCGAGATGTGGGCAATGGGAGCCAGGGTGCCGGCTGCCGCGACTATGAAGTATCGATAGTCGACCGTAGTCCCGAAATAAGCCTCGAACCACAGCATTGCGTAGAAGCTCTTGACGATTCCCCACAGGAAGACGACTCCAAGAGAGAACGGCAGGTCCAGCCCTCCCTGGGCGTCTGCATTGATGGGGATGATCAGCGCAGTCAGGGAGTACAAGCATGGCAGCACCAGCCAGAAGAGGAAGTGGCACAGGGCCGGCCACGACAGTGGCGGTATTCCGAGAATGGACGGGGTGGCAAACCTTCGGTTCACGTTCAACGAGCCCGTGTACCTAGGGATGTCGCCAGAGCGCTCCTGCCGCAGCGGCGACATGGCCAGCATCAGTTTGATGAGGAACTTGAACAGTGACCAGGCGTCCACGTCTCCATCGTTGTAGAATTCCAGCTGTGCGTTGAAGCTCACGTTCCGGCCGAAAAGCCTGCGCACCGAGAGCGGGGAGGCGCCTTTGGACGGCCAGAGCACCGAGCGCAAGTCGGGGGAGGACTTCGACCTGCCCAGTGTGATCGACGCAGATTTCTGGAGTCCTGCGGGAGTCCCTGCCCTCTTGAGGGCGGATTTCGCCACTTCGGGTGTCTGTTTCCGGCTCGGTGTGCCCGATGAGGACTTGGAGGTGGCTCCGCTGACGCCCTCCACAGTGCACACCACATCCGCGGTTTGCACTGCGGCGCGCCTGTCACGGCGGACCTGAGGATTGCAAGGCATCGATGGGGCAGCCTCTCCCGTCTGCGCAGCAAGCCAGTGTGGTCTTAGGCGCACCCTTGATGGCCTCATTCACGTCCAGAGCCCCACCTCCAGGGATTCTGTGTCCTGGCGTTCGCGGCGAAATCGAGAATGCGGCACCTGCATGCTGCAGAGCTGTGGCGCCCTGGCGCTCCATTTTCAAATATCCTCCTTAGAGGCGCGCAGGCCCAGACAAATTCAGCTTTTCCTAAGAGCCGATCGGCAGCTCGCAGGGCGCAATACGCATGAATTAGCGAATTTGAATATTTAAAAATGGGCTTGAGAATTTCATAGGCGTGCCTGGTGGAGCCAGCGAACAGATGTAGCTGCTCAGTGCCAGCTGGCTGTATACGCGTCGGCGACGTACAAGGTGCATGAGAAGCACAGAATACGGCGATCCATAACAGCAAACATGCCGGAAGAACACAAGAGATTTAACGTACCGCATACTGAATGCACATTACTTTGCAGTCAGTTTTCCGTTTGTACAATGGTCTGCAAACATGGGCAACTGACCTCCCCCCCAGCATTTCTCTTATCGCCTGCAGGGAGTCGTGACCTCAGAACTCAGAACAATTGCTGTAAGAAGGCTGCAACCTAACGCAGTTCTTGGAAATCACACCTCCTCACCCACACACCCTCCAGACGGCCCACCAGGGGAATCCGCTTCCACTCCCAGCCTGCCATCTGCAGTTGCCATGTGCCCTGACACCAATTGCCGTGCCAGCTCTTCCGCCTGCCGCCTGTAATACTCCGCGAGCTCCGCTGGGTCTGTGGTAGGAGGGGGATCCGCAAAGAGGGCGTTCGCGTGCACCCTCAGGCCTTCCGACTTGCGTCTTGGCTCAGCGGCAATATCATGAGGTGCACACTGAGATGGCCGTTTGTGGGACGAGGAAGGTGCTCGAGAGTCGCCCCTGGATGAATCCGCCTCGCCGCGCATCCCTCCTTGTACGTGTCCTTGGGACTTCGGCGCTGAGCGCGACATGGAGATCTTGGTCCCGTCGTTGCCCTACGCGTCGCGGATTGGATCCTTGGAAGCCATCTACAGCTTGACTGCGAGAGGCAGAACTGTAGGTATCTGCGCGGGGCCTGCCAGGTTTGATGACTTAGCATTGGATATCGGGAATTGGCAAGTTTGTCAACAATTTACATCCGTTCCAGAAAATGAATTGCTTTCCGCACTGTGTTTGTTCGTGTGAAGGACATGCGGGAGAGGACAGTTACTTTTAAGACTGGCAGCTTCTCCATAGGTTTCCATAAGCATTGCGCCTAGTCACACTGATCGCTTTGACTGCATTAACTGGATAACCATGAATTAGCGGTCCGTTGTCGTAATGTGGGATGTCGTCCGCTCAAGTGGGAGCCGAATCCCGTTGTTTCTGCTGATGCACATCAGGCAGCAGATCGATTTAAGCATCAATTCAACCAGGCCTGCTACAATAGTTGCGAAATATGTTGCGTTACCCTGATTGGTAGCCGCATGGCTGGATACAAATCGCGATGAGAAAAGCAGTCAAAATTCAGGCACATACTTGCTCAGCGCCCGCAGGTATTTAGAGCGGTATATTGTCGCGGTGTGTTGTCTCAAAAATGCTCAAAAGCACCCCAACTCTCAGCTTACCCCTAGCCAAACGCTTCTGATTGTCATAAAATGACTGCTTCAGTAGCCTAACAGAAGTTCAGTCATCCCTCAAAACACTTTGGCGTAGCGCTGAATTCCAGGCTCTGGGTTTCGTCGCGCAGCGTTGAGGTCATAATTGTAGAGCTCGCGAGCGTCGGCTCGCATTCCAAAATCTCTCCGCAGTAGAACCTTCAGTCATGGGAACGGCCTCACACATAGCACTTGACTTTGAAGCGCCTAAGAAGGGCTTAGCGGTCTTTGACGGGATGCAATTGGCAAAAATGATGCGTCGGCACGCAAGGCTGACCCACGCGAATATTTCCGCTTTGGCCAGTTGAACTGACCCAAATATTGATTCTGTGCCTTTAGTATAGCCTCTAACGAGGAATGCCCAGCCTGTTTAAAACTTCTCAACGAGGGAACATCGACCAGCAATTGCTCATACCACAAGCACCAATTTAAACTCAAAGGGTTCCACCTTGCTCACTGGACACATGCTCAGAGCTGTCCCTCCGCCTTCACAGGCGTTGACGCCGGCAATCGGAAAGCGGGACGAATGCTAGATGGCATCGTACTGCCAATGACTCAGCATCGGTGGCAGAACTATCCCCATCGGATTGTTGTTGAGCTGGTTCCTCCAAGCATCCAGTTGTATTTTTTGTCGAGGGACGCCGCGCTTGCACTGGCAGGAGTTTCCGTGAGTCCCGGAAAAATTCTCGATATTTTCAAAGTCCAGCAACACCAGGGGCATCTTGTGTAAAATATTTAAGTTACCAGCCAACAAAACCTGCGTCGATTAGAAATGGCCGGACCGCGCTTTTCGATTTATTGTGAGAGACCCAATCGAGCCGTTTGTCTCAAAAGACAAGACATCTTCGTGGCTCTGTCAGACGTATTGCATTGATAATCAACGAAAGGATTCATCATCATCATCATCGTCATCGTCATCGTCATCATCATCATCGTCATCATCATCATCATCATCATTTTGAATGACAAGGCAATGAGGTAGCTGCCAGGTACCTATTTTCCCGAGAAAGGCAGTGTCTATAATCAACTCAAAGAAATTTAATGTTTAACCCAAACAAAGTCTATGAGTCTATCAAGCCCTAACGCCAAGAAGCGATTGTCGATGATAATATATCAGTGATAATATATCTCAGTGCAAGTGTTGAAGCTACACGTCAATATAGTTACATCCTGCAGGGCATACATACTAGCTAAGACATAGCATCAAGAGAACGTAGAGACATTTGCAATTTGCAGTGCATGAGATCTATTGGCACAACAATTATCCAACAAATTTTGAATAGGGCAAGAGAACTCCGGGACATGATTGATAATAATTCCGTGCACAACTATCAGAGACTGTTGGATGTATCAGTGTTGATGTCAAACAATCTATGAATTTCGCATTGGCCCAATGGCTACGTTACAATGAAAATCCCAGGCCACAAGATAAATTTGTTGTTGTTGGATATCATGTACCGTACCATGGGGCACTCCAACATTGCATATCCCTCTTGCACCACACTGGACATGCCTAAAAAAATCCAGTTTGCGTGTTTGGCTAGTTGCTAATGATCGTAATGAGCACAGAATCCACAATGCTCCCATTTGCACCAACAATTGGGTTGGCATTGCGAGGCAGGGAAAGTGCCTTGAGTGCAGCGACTGCTTCCTGTCAGCCTCTGCTGCAGCAAATGTCAGCTGCAGTAACAACAAATGCACGATCTTCGCTGCATTTGTGCCATGGGTCTGCAAACAACTTGCAAACAACTTGTTCCACATTGCACATAGGACACTCAATTCATAATATTGTTGCACCCTGCAACACCCCTCGAGAACAAAAATGCGCTCGTTGATGATGGACGTGTTGCGCAATCTGTTTTCTTCTCTGACATTGACGCACTCCGCTGGGTCGAACTGGGTCGCTGCACTTCAGCTTCGGTAACATTTCGGCCATCCAATCAAGCCTCATCATCAAACCAGTTTGATCAACAGCGCTTGCTACCCGCGCCTCCGGGCTTGGGCGTGCCTGCAGCCGGGCCCCACAAACTCTCACACTTGCGCACCCCACCCCTGACACCCCAACAGCTCCGCCTGCTCCCCCGTCGCCACAGCCACGCGCCATGGCCATCAGCTCGGCCGTCTTCTACGGCGGCGCCGCGTGGCTGCTGGCCCTCGCTGCCGAAGCCATCTCCGTGGCCTCCCTCTCCAAGCTGCACAACGACTGTAACGACTCGGTGGCCTTCGAGCTGGCCGACGGGAGCTGCGCGGATAGCTTCCGTCCCACGTGGTGGGCCCTCATGTTCCAGCTGGCCGTCCTTGCGGCGATCCTGGCGGTGGCCTGCCTGAAATGGATCAGATTCTTTCGGGTGGCCCTGGTGTTCATGCTCGTCATGGCAGCCTCGGTGGTGATGGACCAGGCGGAGGCCACGCTGGCGGGGCGGGACGCCCGGCGCTGGCGGGAGATCGAGTCCAAGGAGGAGGCCTTCGACGGCATGCTGGCGGGGCTGATCCTGCTGTCGGTCGCGGACTGGGTGATGGTGTTCGTGATCGGGACCATGGGGTTGGCGCGGGCCAAGGGGGTGCCGCGCCCCGGCCTCGCGCAGGCCGCGGAGTAGCTGGAGGGGCTGAATTTCGAATCATGGTGATGTTCACTATTTCTGCTTGGGGATACATTCGGGGTGGGTGGGGGGAAGGAGGGGAGGAGGTCGCAGGGGTTAAGGTTTGCGGGCCTTGTTGATTCTGGATAGGTGCCGACGGGTGGGAGGGGGCGGCATGAGTGTGTTTGTTCTTTTGTGCGGGTCCAGAGTGTTCTTGGGACCATGCGCCGATCTTCCCCCGGGCGGCGGTATGGCGCTACGGCGCGGTGCCTGGCGGCGTCGATTCGAGGAAGAACAACTCCCTTCCATGGCCGCTCTTGAGATATTGTATCAGTAGCTGTATGATTTTTGGTTGTGCGGGCAATCTGCAACCCTCCCTGATCATCATTCGTCCTGTTCAGGAACTGGTGTTGGCGAGACAGACAATGGATGCCAGCTTGCTGGCGAATGTGGCTCATGGCGGACCCACGCAACCAGAGCCTGTCAGGAGCCCTACGGCCCGAAAATCACTGCTGCACCACGCGTGGACTGCAGGGACAGATCTAAGTCGGAGTGTGAAAGTTGTCTACTCTGCAGCTATAGCGGCATATATTTTCCCCAGATTGTCCCATAACAGGATTGGCCTCAAGGTCCCAGTGGCCCCAGTCGATGTTGGCCTTGTGCCATGCAAACGCCATAATCTCCTCACCAGCAGGCAATCTTGCCCAGTTATGGCATTGCAGGCAGCATGTTTGCAGGTGACTGGCGACTGCGATCGCACAGTCTGGTGGCTTGGAGTTCTGACTCTGCCATTAATTGTGGTTGAGAACCAGCAGATGCTCTTGTCAAGTGAATCTGATGGGATGCTGGGCCGGATTTTGCTTCATGTGGTAGTCTTAAGGCACCCATGGATCTTGCATGCATTGGCCACTGCTATGTCAAGCGTCACTGATTGCTCAGGGCAGCCGGCCTTGCTCCGATCAAATGGCCACGTTTGGGATGGTGGGAACTGCTGCTCACCACAACTCTGCCCTCTTGCTTGCCATCGACCCACCTGTGTTTCTGTTAAGCGGCACATGTCCAGCGTAGGGCCATTATGTCCCGCACATTGGTCTGAATGAGGGTCGGGGCATGGTCACATGCCAAGAACGGTGCAAGCAGAACCACAGTTTGTTTGCAGAGCACTGCCTTGGTGGGCTTGCGCCAAAGCTGGCAAGATAGTCTGTTCAAGGGAAGCTCACAATGAGGTGGTAATGTCCACCCAGACGCGGGGACCTCCCTTTGTGTTTCAGGCTGAGCTTTCAGCTTTACGTGTACCTGGTGTGCCTTTGGTTTCAAGCGGGATTTCTAGCGGAAATTGGAACATGATTTCAGGATGTGGGCCCCTTGGAGATTTAGTGCCTTGGCACGACGCCGTGTTTATGTTCAACCTTTGGTCTCCACGCGCTCTTCTGAACAGTACAAAAACAACCATCAACCCATCCGCGAACCCGCCACTCCCTCCTGCGTGGCTTAGCTTTGGACACAGATACAGGCAAGAGCAACACCATGATGAAGTCAAGGATTCAATGAACAGTCAGATAACAAATTGGGTATTCAGTTGCGGAATACTGGCTTTTTATGGACTAAGGCAACCATTCTGTTTTGCTGATAGAGCGTTGTGCAACAGCGGGGTATTTGGACCCCGATCCAATCACGGTTTACGGTTTTTTGCCTGTTTAGTCATGGTGATCGCCGAGCTGTTCCAAGCCCATCAACTTCAACAGACTCGAGCTATTTAAACAAGGATGCTATATTTGGGTAAGGCAGCGCGCCACGCAGCGAAGTTTGCTGGATTGTTGATGGGTTGGCTGAGCATACCAAGCACGGGTGTTCTAGAAAATCCATCAGAAGCCGGCTAGAAGAATTTTGGGGAAGCGTGGTGATGATGAGGGATATGCTGCTTCATAAATGATATTTTGAATTAGGTCGCGCAGAAGCAACTTCACTTCAATGCAAAGCTTGCTGCATGAACTTCAAATGAACCATTGTCGGCCTATGTTCGTGGGTCATCTCATGCGATTCAGCATTCTTTGTAGCAATTGCGGTGTGAACGGCAGTGCCTTGTCCATCGTTTGGGCAGAGACCGAGGCGCGCCGAGAACCAGACGTTGGCAATCACAGGGATTTGCACAAAACGGCCACTAGCGCTTGCCAGACAGCGCTGTAGAATGAACTCAATTTGCAGATGTGCCTGAATGAGCGCTTTGATACACCACATCAATTCTGCGCAGCAGTAGCCCTGCATAGCAATGGATACCTAGGCTTGCTTTATAGGTGCAAGCAAAAAGCCGTCAAGAAAGTTGTGCTTTCAAAAGATACATAATGGTCTTAGGAGCAGCAGATGTATTACGTTGTGCCACATCGCCATTCCTCTTTGGTCGTGCACGGAATTGAAGACACCAATATCGCCATCATCAGCCCCTCCAATAACGTCATTATGACGGTCATGAGCACCTTCTATATAATCCCAATCATCCGAGAAAGCAAACAAGTAAGGGGCGACACTGTGCCCAGTTTTTTGCACTCAAGTGCGGCAGTGGGAGTCGCGCTTTTACACACAAAGGGGAACGCTAGAGGAGGTTCTGGTGAGGTAGGGTGGCAGGATGGGGAGGCCGTCACGCTAAAAAAATATGCATGCGGGCATCGACAAAAGCTAAGAAGAAGCCCCAACTGGCCGTGCTTGTTTAACAATCGGCTTGAAGCTAGGAATTGAAGGCTGCAAATGAGGCACAAACACGTTGAGCACAGTTTCTACACAGCACACGTTTCCATGCATTGCATATTACCAACTACAGCATCCGGTTACTGAATGCAACTGCAAACAAAGCTGTTTGCTCAATGCCACATGGCAACTGCTGCTGCCCTTCAACGCGGGCTGAACACATGCAGGCTAAACCGTGCAGGCACTGCCTTCGTCAACAGTTCCAGGTGACACCAGGCAGAAGAACATTCAGGCGGCCGATTCTTCACCTATGGGTTATAACCGTCAGCACATTGTGTTCATCTGGCAACCGACGGTTCAATTCTTGCCTCGCCAAGTAGGGAAGTGGCACGACGAGCAAACAGTCATTGACGCTGACTCTGTCCGTCCAGCCTGCCATCCACAGGCCAGCATGAACTATCATGCAATCCTACTCTACAGGTCACATCCAGCCCAACTCTGCACTCCCTCTCGTTACCGCGCTGCAAGCACGGCCCTGTCAAGAATGATCATGAAAGGCTTATCAAGAACAGCTGGCACCAGAGCGTGCAGCTCTGCGGTCCGCCTAAACTGTTGCAGAGTATCGAACGGTTCAAAAGAAAACGCCTCTCAACGAATTGGCATGCCCTATGACACCTGTGCCGTTCCAGATGTAAACCCAGCCTGTTCGTATCGGTAACCCCCATCTGGAGCGGTGCCAAATCCTCTCGGGTCCGCAAACACGTTTTCCAGTAGCTGGCCCTTCTCCTGCAATCAAATGCGCACAACACCCCGTTCAGGACAATGTCGTAGAATGCGTGACATGCTCTCTTCCTTTCCTGTGAGTCGTTCCATCAACAATTGGGTGCACGCAATGCTGCAACATCACAATGTACCTCACAGTGAGCACTCTTACAGCAATCAAATGGCATACGTGAGTCATGGCCAAGGAATGCGAATAAACTGCTCTCTTGACAACTTTTTCATTTTGTGCAGTACGACGTCTGTCCGTTCCATATCTTGGCATCCTTCCCTTCAGCAAGGCCTGCAACACGAGCGGCAGTCACCAGCGGCTATAAGCAGGGCCTTCACAGCTCCCACACACATTGATTTGGTTTGCTGCCAGCGAGAATGTCCAAGTCGCTGCTGTCCCACCCAACGAATAACGAACAGCACCAGCAGTGCAGGCTCACACCCTGTGCGACTCACCGGCTTGGGGCTGGCTTCAGCGAACTGCACAGAGTCCTCCACGCATTCCACCACCTGTTGCTCAATGTCTTTGAGCTCGGCCTCCATCAGGATCTTGTTGTCCAGCACATACTTGCGGAATGCAGGGATGGGATCCCGCTTGGCGTATCGCTCCTTCTCCTCCTTGGTCCTCAGTTCGTCTGGGTCGGCCAGGGAATGGCCTCGGAAGCGGTACGTCTCGCACTCGATCAGGGTGGGGCCATCCCCACGACGAGCCCTTGCCACTGCAGTGGCGACCGCCTCACGAACCTGGCAGCAGGACCCCCAAAATCTGTGATCTGAAAAATCTCAAAATCTGTGAACTTGAATATGCGCAATCCGCAATTTGAATGTCAATTTGTCAATTCGGTCTGCAGTAAGCGCAAATGCATGTGCTTCCTCGTTGGTGCACGGATCGCAACCACCTTGCCCAACACTCTTGAGTTAGTGCTCCAGGGTGAGAAGAAGTGCTACACCAAGAACACCTGCCTATAAGAGTTTCATGTGCCCCTTTAGGGTGCTCGTGCAAATGAAGCCAAACTGTGTACTTTCCGTGCAAGGCAGATGAAACCAGCCAGCGTACACGACACACATAGCAATCACCTCCTCTCCTTTTGAGCCCTTAAATTATCTCACAAGACGGCCCATGGGATGTTCAGGGACATAGGAACAAACGTTGATTGGATTAATATTCAATTTATTCGCATACGACTACATAATTTACACACACTGTTCAATTTCTGAGCACAATTGCATTGCTATGATGTATACGAGTACGCATGTACATTTGCAAATGTGTTTGTTGGAAGACATCGCTGCATTCATGGCATGGCTTTGCTTGCTTATGTATTGATAGATAAAACAAGCGCCATATGATGGACTGTCTGAAAGAACAGTCTAAAAGGCAAGAGCAGGCCAATGCCCAGAAATGCAAAATGCCAAGAATTCCGATTAAGGACAGAACATAATAACTGAGCAACACACAGCTTAATGGTGCATGCTGTTGTCACATATGATGCCATAAATGAACACAACTCCTCGTGGGCTGTGCAACAAACTCAAACTGGAAGTGCTCCATGCAAACATTATGGATTGATGTGCACATAGTGGCTTGCATTCTTTTAGGGCCCCACAAATACAGACCGCCTCATGAGTGGAACCCTTCTGAGCAATCATGTCGTCAGTGTTCACCAGATACACAGGTAGACACTGGCGGCCACCATTGCGGGGGATGGGGACCTAGGTTGCAGTCCTGCCATTTAGCACAGACAAACCTTGCCAACAGCCTCCACATTGGAACAGAAGCAGTGCAATTTCTAGCCCTGACGCTCCCTGTGCGCTAATTAACAACAACACAAACAACTCAAAGGGCAGCAGTGCAGAAAACAAAATCAAGAGTATTATTGCAATGCATGGCAGGCATACCTTCACAACGTCCATTCCATCGACATGGATTCCAGGCATGCCAAAGGGCTCGCCTTTCTTGTAGATGTTGGGAACATTGTCACCAAAAGATGGCCCCGTTGCCCGATCGTGGTACATCCCAATGGCCCATTTGTTGTTCTCCACCATGAAGATATGTGGAAGCTTGTACAGGCCAGCCATGTTGAGGCATTCATAAAACTGGCCTGTGGACATGCAATGATGATCATCGAGTAAGCATCAACTCCTGTGACTGCTTGAAGCATAGTAAACTGCAGAGCCTAAGATGATGCAACCCTCCTTTGCATTGACTCCCACAGCAGTGGACAATTAATTGCAACGAAAAAAGAAATGTGTCACAAAATGGCACCTCTCGCCCTGGCAAAAATGTGTGTGAACTTTTCCACATTGTGAAGAAGTAGGGTCTCAGTGTAGGAGTGACACAGATGTAACAAAAAAACACCCATGACTGCAACACAGATAGATGATTCTGAAAGCAAAACTCAACTTGAAAACTGTGCTAAAAGTTGCGCGGACCTTCCATCAAGCGATTTTGCAGTTGCTTGTAGTTCACCCAGTTCCCCAGTGACATGGTTCAAGAAAGTTGTCCACATTAATGCCCAAATCAGGAACATTGTTCAATCACTTTCATGCCTAGTGGGATATCATCCAATGTTCCAAGCACAAAAGGTAATGCAACAGGCCTAAATCTTACCATTGTTGCATGTGCCATCGCCAAAGAAGGACAGCGTCACCTGATCAGCACTCTCATCTTGAAGGGCTTCCTGGTACAAGAGCTAATAAATTAAGCATTGGAACGAAAAGTTGTGGCAAACTAAATTAGAGGAACAGATCATCCAAGTAACACAAGTTTGTCCCTGTGTCTATTCTGTACCATCTCTAAACTCAACGCATCATATCTCCCCAATCAGTTCCTAGTCAGTTGCACATCCCTTCACCAACTATTCCCAAGTTCGCTGAATGTGTGCAACAATCTGGTACTGCATGGGGCTGTTCAGCGGAGAGCAGAAAGAAAGGCTCAATGGTAAGACAATACCTAGAATCATCCAGCGGAAATGTCATTGTAAACAAGCAATAGCAAGTCATATCATACAGCAACATGGCCACAGGCATATTGCTTGCCATATTTTGACAAGTGTATGGAAAAGCAGATTTTCATTTTCATACAGTCAACAAGGCAGGAAATTTACTTTAGACCGAATAAACAGCATTGCTCTGTGGCCAGCTAACGTGGCATGCCTTGGAAACAAGCTACCTGAGCACACATTCTTGTTCTGCATCCAGGACTTAGCATCCTTCACCAAGGTGAACTCAAACCCACAAGTCTTCGATTGCATTTCAATCGGCTTCAGTGCAAAGCAATTCCTTGTACTTTGCATGCAATGCAGCACAACACCAGACAATGCACAGACTTGGGGAGCTTGTGCTCTGGTAGCAATCAGTTCTGGGTGCTCAATTCTGCATGTCATGGGAATATGACTCCACCGCATCTTTATCTACAGCCTGACATTTGCAACATTTCCATTGGGTTGCATTACCATCGCAAGTTCAGCACCCTTGTGGGCTGAGAGTGTGGGCTTGCCCACAAATGGTTGCATACAACTAGAATGCAAATCCTTGATGAAGTATGTAAACCCTACTATTCCCTTGTCGATGTGCAGGGCATCAAGAAGACAAGCAAGTTCCACAAGGCCCAATGGCGACACTTTCAAGATGGGGGGACTCTCAGTTAGAGTTCAACTGGAGACAGCTCCTTAGCACCATTCTTGGCCCATCACCACGGCACCCACCCTTCGGTATTTGGTCTGGAAAGCAGCGCCCAGGCCCACAGGGATGCCCTCCCCAATGAAGGCGAAGCCTCCCAGCTGCAAAGGCACACATATCCCATCAATGGGAACATAGCAACCTCGAACCAGGCATTTTCAATTCGTTGGAATGCAAGCAATGAACGAATGGTGGTTGCATGTCAACCATCAGGGAGCTTGCAGCCGCACAACAACAACCTCAGACAGCAATTCCACACAACCAATCACAGCTAGCCCCCTTGCACAGGGAACCATGCACTCCAACACTGTCACACAAATTTGGCACACACCCTGAATGCACAATCACATAAATGTGCCAAGCACGAAGTACTCTGTGCACAGGCTTCTGAGAGCCAGCCTCCCACCACAGCAATCCCAAGAGTGAACAAAAAGCTGTTGAGCCTCTCCCACACTCCCAGGGTTCCCACAGCATGACCTGCTCCAGTCAAACTGCACCAGCATGGTCCCACCTGTGCATCAGGCACCCCTTCCCACCCCAAGCGCCCTTTGCGAACCCCCCTCCCCACCCGAGGCTCTAACTATCTTTTCACAACAAGAAAAAGAGTCTCGCTTACACTTACTTAGGAGGGGTTGCCCTTTCTATTACCTGTTTCTTTTTCTCTTTGTAGCAAATCTTACCCCCCCTCTCCCCTGACTCTGCATCACCTTCTCACATTATGGAAAAAGAGTCGTGCACACATTGCTTAAGAGGGGTTGCGCTCTGCTCGACCAGTTTCTCTTTCTCTTTGTAACAAATCCACCCCAACCCACCCCCAACCCAGCCCCAGCCCGCCGCCGTTGATCCGCCCCCCACTCACGAAGTTGTGCTTCCTGGAGAACATGTGCATAGATCCCCCCTGGCCCCTGCACACGCCCGTCTGCTTGCCGAACAGCTCCGCCATCACCTCCCTCGCCGGCACGCCCTTGCTCAGTGCGTGCACGTGGTCCCGGTACGTCGAGCACACGTAATCGTCCGGCCGCAGCAGCCGGATCGCCCCCGTGGAGACAGCCTCCTGGCCCGAATACAGGTGCACGAAGCCGAACATCTTGCCCCTGTAGTACATCTGCGCGCACATCTCCTCGAACTCGCGCCCCAGATACATGTCGTAGTACAGGTCGCGCGCCACGTCCGGGGACAGCGTCTCCCCCTTCGCCTCCCCCCCTTTGGCCGCATCCTTCTTCGACTTCGTCTCTGCGGGCTTCGTTGCCACGCCGAGCACGATCACCGTCCGGCGATCCCTGCTGCCGGAAGATCTCCTCGCCGATCGGGCCAAGGCCTCGGGGAGGGGGCCGCGCCGCATGGCGGGCGCCCTGGCCACGTAGCGCTGGCAGATCGGCACCGGCGCCGAGCAGGACGCCATGGCCGCTGCGCCTCTGAGATTGTCGAATCCCATCGGAGATGGTCGGACGTGGGAGTGGGGTGTCTCGGCCGGGGTGGCGCTGTGGGGGGCGGGGGGGCGAGGTGAGCGGAGTCGGGGACCCCGCGGCCGCCGAAGTGGGGGGAGAGGCCCGCCGTTTGGGGGGCGTCGGTCGGGGCAGACGGGCCCTGATTGGACGGGCCAGGTGGCCACGTGCCAGGGTGTCCACATCGCGGCCACAGCGGCGAGTGACGCGACGGAAACGGCTCGGGGGATAGGACAGGTGTCGCCGTTGTGGCGATTTTCTAAGTACCCCCACTGAGATGACCAGTTTGAGGTTGTGTATTGTTAGTTGTTTGATTGGTTGATCTGATCTGCTGCAACCTTGTTTGAGTTGCTGAGCACGGCCTGGAATCAGTGAGTTAAAGACGTGCTAATTGTCCTGTTCCGTTGCATTGTCCAGGAGTCCACATGGGGAGAGTTGCCCTTGCTGCAAGCCCCAATGTACGACCCCCTGACGTGTGACTAAACCGACACGGAGCCCTGAGCTGGGAATTCATCATCAGTGAGCTATTTTAGTTGTGTACGTTTGTTTTGATGGAGTGCCAAGGCTGGAACTAAGAAATGGACTGGCGGGTACTACCAACTTCATCATATTTTACTGATTTGATTGATTTGAGTATTGGATCATTATGGAGATACATACTTGGAACTCAGCATGATTGCTTGGGACTCATCGCACTTGGTGGGGACCGAATTCACTTGCTGGGGACTGAATCAAGCCGGTTGTATGGAGTGTATGATGGGTTGTACCATGCTGGGGACTGGTGTTGGAGAACTTGAGACGTTTGGGGACAAGCTCAGGGGGTTCTGTACGGGGGTTGCAGCTTGGGAGGATTCTCGAACGGTGGCTAGAACTGGGGACTGGGACACCCTTTTCAAGTATAAATACGTACAGAACATTCTTGTAAACACTTTTTCTGGGCCCACCAACGTTGTTGTGCATGTATCTTTGTTTCCGAACTGTCCTTGGACAGTGTGTGTGCCGCATCCCGTTTTGCCTGTGGGGAAGGAGGCGGCCACGGTGTTTTCCGAAGATCGGGACCGCATTTGATGCCCATCAGCTCGTTGTGACAGCTGGTCTAGCAATTACGGCTCTGCAGCAGGACAGGCCTGGTCTACATCCGACTGGCACAGCTGAGGTATGTGGGTTACCGCCACACCATCTGTCCACGGGTAACCTTGCTACAACTAGCAAAAATCGAAATTTTCCTTCTAAGTTAATTGTAGCTTGATGTTAATAACCTTTGTTCACAATACCGCATAATGACCACCGTTTCACTAGGTGGATCACTCATGTATTATGGTGTGCAACTTGTATGCAGTTTAAGAATATGGTTTATATGCGTGGCATTTGGAATATATAAAAAGAAAAGAAAAATATGTTTTACAATTCAAAAAAATAGTTCTCTTATGATGGGACTTTTGTGAGCATGAATTTGAGTGTTGTGGGAGATGCCATGTGATTCCGAGACAAATACTATGGTTGAGGTTTCACTCATAATTGATCATTTCTATATTACCTTAAGGCACTTTTGGCATATGTTTTATGAAGTGGGTTACATTGTGGCGATGAGTGGGCATCTTTGAAGTGTCATATGGTCCTAGTCATGTGCAAAGAAGAGTTTTGTATGTGCAAGGAGATTCGAATTGTTGGGTTATGGGGGTCGTTGCCACCGTTGGCAAGGCTCTTCGTTGTGGGAAGTGTGAACAATTATGTAAGCCCCAGGCGTTTTGTGTGTGGTGTGGCCTTTCGTTTGGTCGTGTGCCAACGCCATTGAAGCATCGGTGATTGTGGATTCGCGCTTCCTATGTGTTGACACTCCAAAGGGGCCGTTTGAATTGCATCGACGGCCTTTTCTTCAGGGTGGTTTCAGAGCATTGAGGCATTGAGGCATATAAGTTGTGAGGCAAGATGACGGTGGCCAAAGTGCAGAAAAATCTACAAGAGCTGCTTGGGGTAGTTTGCAAGCTGATTGACTTGGACTTCGGTCAACAATTGGCCAAAGTGTCAGACGGGTGGAGTTGCAGAATTTGCAAGTGAGCAAGATCTACGAATAGCAAAGCGCGATTGAGGGCTAGGAGACGGAGGGGGATAATGCAACAAGGTCTTTAGGATAGCTCGAGGCTGTTTGGAGAGCGATTGACCCATTGTTTGGTGGCCATTGCCCAATTTGGCGAATGGGCACAAGTGAGAATCCAACAATTTGACTATATCTGTGGCTTGCAAGTAACGTCCAAGTGGTGCTCAACAGTAGCGAATGGGCGGCCAAACTCTTGTGAGTAGCGAGGAGCAACTTACAAGCAATTTATCGTAACGGCAAGTATGGGTCACCAGGTTAGTGCTAGCTCAATATTTTGTGGTGAGGTGGTGTTTCGGTGATGTGCAGATTTTGGTGAAGGATTGAGCAATGGGTGGCTGGCCAAGGGAGCTTGCAGCATGGTGTAGAGCTATGCACAAGCCTCCCAAGATATGGCTATAGCCAACGCTTTGAGCGAGGGCAGTGCCGGGAGCTTTAGGGGGTCCAAAATAGTGGATGGTCATAGGGGGCAGAGCCACAATTAGACGTGGCCGCTCAGCTTTTTTTCTGTTATTTTCTGTCCGTATTTTTTTTCAAGACAAAAAATCCGTCCATCACTTTTCTGTTATTTTGCCGGGGCCGGTTTTCTGTTGCCGTTGATGCCACGTCAGCTTCCAATTTTTTGGCTCTGGAGCTGTCCGTCAAGGGGGTGTTTGCAGCCACCAATTTCTGTAAAGATGTTTTTTTTTTCCATTGCCTTTCCTGGCATTCCGTTGCCATCCGTCATGGACTTTGAGATTCTGGAAGCTTGTCGCGAATAGAGGCGTATCGAATCGCTGCTAGTACTTGGCTGGAGGCAGCACACACACAGAACACATTATCACGGCGTACTATAAATCATAAGTGCTGGCCCTTCCCAGCAGCAATCGCTGCCGGTACTTGGCTGGAGGCAGCACACACACAGAACACATCATCCCGGCATACTATAAATCATAAGTGCGGGCCCTTCCCGGCAGCGATCGCTGCCAGTACTTGGTTGGAGGCAGCACACACACAGAACACATTATCGCGGCGTACTATAAATCATAAGTGCGGGCCCTTCCCGGCAGCGATCGCTGCCGGTACTTGGCTGGAGGCAGCACACACACAGAACACATCATCACAGCATACTATAAATCATAAGTGCGGGCCCTTCCTGGCAGCGATTGCCATCGATTTTTTATGGAATTCTGTCGACCTTTGTGGTCCAGTCAGCGGTTCTGTTGCGGGTGCCTATCATCCGTAGATGGCGGCGCGAATTCTGTAACACTTGGTTTCATTCTGTAAGGCTGTGTGGATTTCTGCAGTTGTCTATGCTGACGTCAGTATGGCCCTACCCGTTTCTGTAAAACGCTTTTTTTCTCTGTGGCTCCCTCATAAATTCTGTTGATTGTACAGAATTTTAACGGAGCCAAACAAATTCTGTTGGGGACGGACAGATGGGGCCACCTCTAGCCACAATGGCTTGGAGTTCTCCCCCACCGACTAGGCCCATTAGTTATTGGAGGTTGGGTCACATGAGGTGGAGGTACAACTTCTAGAGTTGTAATTGTATACGGGGACATAGACGTGATGGATTCAGTGGCTCCCGGTAGATAAAAGCAAGGTAGATAAAAGTGCACAAGTAGACCCAAGAAATTTTGGTGGGCGGTCACCCTCCCGTGAGGGTGCAGCAATGCAATTTTTGCAGGAGGTCATGAGTCTTCCCGCCAAAAGGGCGTTCGCTGGTGATATGATCACTAAGGGATGCAAGGGATGTTGGTGGTAGCGTGTGCTTAGTTGATATACCTTAATAATATCTAGCACAATTGCTAAGTACCAAAGAATGTTGGGATGGCTATGGGAGGTAATTGGGTATTGTGCACAGGGTGCATAACTATGAGCTCGATGGGTTTGATGGATGATGAGTGAATTTATCATAACGGGAAAACTGTTTGCTTGGGGATTTTGATGGAACAATTGCTTATGAGGAAGCTTGAAAATGGCTAGGTTGGTGCCATGATTATTGTTATGATGAATGCTTGTTGGTTTGCCATTTGTTTTGGTTTGACTTTATGGGAATGAGCATTGGAAATTTGTGTGGGTTTTTTTGGGTCCTACTGTATTGCAATGTCAAAGTTGACCATGGCTCTTAGTTCTTTGTGATGCTTTTAATAGAAATGGCTTACTCTGTGATGGTTTTCCATAGTATGGTGCTAAATTGATGATTTTCCAATTAGCACATGCCATCCTATTCTTCAAAACATCATTTTTCTAATAGTGATGGAACATGAATGTATTGAGACTTTACTCTATATGTTGATATCTCTTTCCAGCAATAGAGATCATTTGTTTGGTGGGACCCCCTCACTCATGGAAACGGAGAAGCATTTTATGGCAACGAGCCAGAAGTTGGCGGATGAGGTGCAGCTAGCAGGCGTGATCGATGGGGGGTGCTTTGCAAGGACTCAAGAGGACGTTTCGAATGGGTGGTGGCATTGGAATTGGAGAAAGGAAGCCAAGTTGCACGGTTGGAGGCATTGGCCAATGCTATGGGAAAGGCCTCTGAGGAAGCTTCAATTGCCAATGAAAGTGTGCGCCAAATGGCGAGAGTCTTGGGCGACTTTGGCACTGCCATTCAAGCACAACAAAGTATGTAGGAATCGGTTTCTGAACGAGTGGAAATCATGGCTGCAAGCCATGCTCAGGAAACGGCCTCTATGGTCAGCGAGCTCGGTGGCATCAAGCGCGCCATTGAGGCGCTGGACCGCAGGGTGTCCGAGGCAACGTCCAACCTTATCGTTTGGCCAGCTGCGCTACCCTTCACCGTTCAGAGTCGGTCGCCGTCACCGGTGGCCTCGGGCATGAGGGATATAGATGCCACGGAGGGAGATGCCACCCCCG